TGAAATAAGGCAACAATATGGTATGTCATGCATGTAAGTGTAAATAATGCAGTGTAAGTACACAATCATTTGGTGACTGGGTTTGAGTTAGTGTCACAGTAAATTTTTTCATGTACGCTTCTGCATTGATCAACTTCTGCTGAGGTAAGTGTGCAAATATGTGGATAAATTTAGAACATGACTTTTTTAAAAGATGATCATTTTTGTTCTTTGCCCCACATTAAAGAAGAAAAAGCAAAATAAATAAATAATGTGGCCCTGTACTAATGACGTAAAAATTATGTAATAATTAATTTCATATTAAAAAGGTAAAAGATAAATGAATAACATGTGATTACCAAATAAATACCCAAGAAAGCCTACCAATGAAAACTTCTGCTATCAGTACTATCACTATTAGTCTAACATTTATTATGGGAAACACATTCAAGTGAATGAGATGAAATAATTTAGCAATGCCTAGATTATATTTGGGTAACAGTATCATAGCTTGCTAATAATAATACTGCATTCTATTTGTATTTGGATACAAATAGTAAGGTAGCCTCAAGAGAAAACTGAAACCTGCGCTGAGGTAATGAAAACCACTGCGTGTACTGATGAAGGCTGTGCTGGCTTTTATTCTCATGTCAAAATTCAACTCACTCTAAGTGACGTGATGTGTTCTGTGATGTGAAGCTTTGATAAAATGTACATTCATTTGGAAGCAAACAAATAATACATTTCTGGTTTGCTTCAGCGTCTGGACATGCAAAGAAGAATTCCTGCAGAGCTGCTGTAGTGTTTCTGGCTCTGTTGTGTCTTCTCCTCCTGGCTGGACTCATTTACATGGTTTTCTTATGTGAGTATTTTTTTTAGTATGCTGATGATGCCCTAAGGAGATAACTCTGGTTGATTTTTTTCTTTATTTGTTTATGTGTCAAATGCAGATACCAAGAGCAACTCTGATTGGAAAATGGAAAAAACTCTGTTACAGAACAGTTACAACAATCTGACTGAAGAAAAAGACCAGTTTCAGAACAGTTACAACGATCTTTCTAAAATAAAGGACCAGCTAGAAAGTGAATATAACTCCCTTAGTGATCAAAGTAATAAGTTACGCTCCAGTTATGAAAGCCTTGAAAATCAAAGACTCCAGTTAGAGACAAAATACCAAAACCTCAGTGATCAAAGACACCAGTTAGAGATAAAATACGAAAACTTTTATAATGAGACCAGTTTCAATAATCTGGTTCAACAGATAGAGCAACTAAAGACACGACTGGAGTCCATGGCCAAAGCAAAAAATGATAATCAGTGAAAGCTGAAAACAACGAACAACGAAAACACTAATTTTAATTGGGAAAAAAAAACAGAAGTCTATTAGAAGAAACAATAACAGCATTCATATGTTCCAGTTATCTTTAAACTTATATCATTATACCAAATTATGTGCGGCAGCTTGCAAAACTTCGGTAATATCACAACCGCTAAATAACCTTTGTAATAACTGATGATTCGATTTGTTCATAAGAAGAAAAAGTTGTAATTAAAAGCTCCAGAAACTGCAAGTAAAATGGACTTTGTGATGATGTCAAAGGGAGTTTTAGAAAATAAGCACAATACATAAAATTTAAATTTAAGATGTGACATTAAACGGTCTTTACTGATTACCGTCTACCATCCTGTAAATACACTGCTCCAAAAATTAAAGGAACACTTTTTAATCAGCATATAGCTTCAATTCAATTAAACTTCTGTGATATTGATCTGGTCAGTTAAGTTGCAAACGGGGTTGTTAATCAGTTTCAGCTGCTTTGGTGTTACTGAATTTAATAACAAGTGCACCAGAGTAGCAGCAATGAGTCAACCTACTCAATTCAATTAATAATTATTGATATAGCTCCAAATCGCAATAACATTCAAGGTGCTTTATATTGTAAAGTAAAGACCCCACAATAACACAGAAGGGTTTTACAGCTTTTAAGTTTTTTGCCTTCCTCGTCTTCTTAAACTGTTTTTTCACTAGTTTTGTATTTGGCTGGGGTCAGTGTCACTATAGGGCAGGGATAGCTCAGTAGGTAGAGTGGTCGTCCCATGATCGGAAGGTTGGGGGCTCGGGTCTAAAAACACGTTTTGTTTTGGGGGGTTTTCTAAGCTTATAATGATGTTTTAGGCAAGAAAAGTATTGTCTATTATAATATTTGACTGAAAACAAAACCGCTTTGATGGAGCTTTACTTCAAATTGTAATTTAAATTGTAATTGTTTTTGTCCACGTTGACTTATGGTGTGCTGACAGTGTGTATGTTAGATTATTATTTCTTCAACAGGAAGGTCAGTGTTAAGACTTTTTAAGTTATCAGTTGTAAAAATTAA